AGCTCTAAGACCCCAACTGATCTCTCGGTGTGTGTTGTAGTGTGAGTGTCTAAATAAGGGATGAAGATAGGAAAGGGAAGAGCAAGGAAAAATCGCGCACGGGTCGTAGCCCGTTTGTTAGGGTATTGCTCTGTCCTTCGATGATCGGGGGAACCTAAGAAAATTACCGATCAGAGCAGCCGACCGCAAGAATTCTCCTCCAGACAGTGGCCCCACTGAGGGGGGGGGGGGAGCACGATTTCTGCCACCTTCCCTGTCCATCCGCACCGTGTCTCCGTCATCGTCTCTCGCGCGTGATGATGCACTGGAGGGCGGGCAACGCGCCGCGCCGGCTGCCGCCTCCGCCGCGGCCTCCGCGTGGCCTTTGCCGAGGCCAGCGCGCGTCACCGGCGGCCGGCGGTGGGAGTTGGTGACCCAATAAAGCAGCAGCCGCGGCCCACGGAGCCTCCCCCCCTCCCCCTCCCCCCACGCAAGGCCACCGCACCTGGCGCGGAGCCTGCCCGGCCGCGAACCCGGGCCTTCGCCAACGCGCGCCGCCTACGAATAGCTCCCATCCTACACCGCGACTGCTTAAGGCTTGAGACTTCGGAAGAACATTTCACGATCACGAATATTTTCTTCTGTTGGCGATAACGCGTAAGAGCGAAGTGTACCTCATGGCAAATTGATTAGTTTATTTCGCAAAAAAAGTTAACAACAACGCAGAATCTGAGGTCCTGCCTTGTGTTTTATTCTCCAGAAATTAAATGGAAGTGTTAACTGAAGGAATGTTTCATACCGATCTTTACGACAATTTTTATATGTTTTGATATCGTACGAATAATTAGATCAGTATTTAACACATCTGCATCTAATGTATCTTATTCATTGTTCAGTACTTCAGTCTTCGATATACTCTTTTGTTGAAGCAACAATTCTTCCGTAAAGGGATTAATTATTTTATCTTGCAAACATACCAATCCGTGTTAATAGTCAAGGTTTACAATTCTCACTATCCTTTATTAATTGCAACTAATTTCTTGCTGTTGTGAGTTTCGTATAGGCCAATTTATTCCGCCTCTTCATACATCCATTTCCGATGAAAAACTAAGGTAAGGTTCATAACAACCCTACAATAAAATAACCATTTTTGACTGATGGTACATTCAGTCCCGGGTTCTAAAAAGAGATTTGATTTCGAAATCCTTTGTGTCAAACGATGTTCACTGACCTTTCTTCTAGAGCGAGCTGAAGGTTACTGTTGCGATAGAGCAACGTTGTTGTCCATGGGCTGCAACCTGAAAGACACAGTTCGCTCGCATTTTGCGGTTTCGGATCACCTCAGTTCTCCATCAGTTCCGCTCCGTTTCGCTGCAGATAGGTTGCGAGGGGCGTTTTCTCTGCGCTACATGCGGTTTTCCTCCGCGATTGTTATCGTTTTCGATAAATTCTCGCATCATTAGGGCGAAGTGTGAAAGTTCTTGCCCGTAAATCATTTTTTCTTTTCTTATTTTCTTTTCTGGATTATTTGTTTAAACGAAATCCTTCCACCAGGAAAGAGATTCAATGGAGAACTGAAACGGAGCAATACCTTCTGTATTCACTTCCCGGTTTGTTAGTGGCTATTGGGATTATTCAGTGTGTATCTTTTTTTACAACTTTTTTTACTTCTTGAGTTCATTTAATAAATACTTATGCTGTGGTAAAGGAAAACTTACAACCTTCTGAGTGAATTTTACTACTTAATTTTGATCTGAAAATCGGAAAGGTTTTAAATGAACCAAACAATTTCAATGTCTGTAACTAAATTCATTAAGCATAAAACAATTTTTAGGTTAAAGAAATTAGAAGAGAATGTGTTTCTACGGATTCATCCGACTGCATCCCGCAATCAGTTTTCTCTTGCTCTCACTTCCCAACTAATCTCCTTTCACTTTCCGTTAATTGAGAAGGCATAACCCGATGGTATCCCATTTTGTTTATCGGATGTTTCAGAAGGAATATTTTTGTTATGTTTTTATTCAGATGTTGCGCAAATAGATTTACCCGCACCAGCCCAGAGGAAACCTCGAACGCCGGTGAAAACATACACAATTTCCAAAATTATGCTGTGAAGTCAGGGAAAAGATGCTCGTCATATGAGGCTTCAAGTTTTCTTTCCACCAAATTTAAAGCAGTGGTTTTCAACGTTGGCAGTGCTATATATGGACGTGAGTATGTTTCTTGAAGACAGAAGTCAGGATGAATGATAATACTAAGCAGACGACGGCAAACATAGAAATCAATTCTTGATATAAAGAGCACAAAGGCTCGGAATGCAGTCGGGCTGTGCCTTGTGAGTGAGTGAGTGAGTGAGTGAGTGAGTGAGTGAGGGAGGGAGAAAGGGAGGGAGGGAGTGAGGGAGGGAGTGAGGGAGGGAAAGAGGCAAACAGGCAAACAGCCTTCGAAAAGTTGATAGCAGAATGCAGTCGATTTACGCCGACGCAGGCGATAGAGTTGTTTGAAAAAAATCCACCTTTTTCCGTCCCGCTCGTGCTCGGGGCGGACTGAGATGAATTCGCCGGCGCGGCGGCTCTTTTGGTCACGTGTCCACCCGGCGAGCGGCGGCGGGGTCAAGGCGGGCCACGCGGCGCGGGGCTGGCGCGCGGCCGGCGCGTGGGGGCGAGGGGCGCGGCGGGGAGGATGGCCCGGGCGCGGCTCTCCGCCTATATTTGCCCGGGTGCCGAAATAGCCCCGGCTCGAGGCAGCGGCAGCGGCATAGCAGCAGCCGAATGCCGCAGGCCGCTGGCAGCCTCCCCGCCATAACACTTTCATTTTGCACACCCACACTCACCGGAGGCGCGTTGGTTCTTCAGGCACGAGATTGTAGATAGATATTTCTGTGGCACCGTTATCAGTGGTCATAATTCATTGACTTCCTTCAGATGCTATGGAATTTATGATACAAATAATAATATGAAGGCATCTTGTCACAACTCTGGTGACATTTTGAAGGGACATGGGCAGCTTATGGCTTGTACATTGCCCAGGTTTTAAAAAAAGTTTTGAGAGTGGAAATCTGTTGATTTTATCCTCTTCGGAATATGTCTTCGAACATATGTTAGTTATCACTTTCATATTAGTTTTCAAGGAAGTGAGAGTTTGTTTTCTTTAGTATCGTCACCTAAGTAGTAATGTGTCACCACATGCATCGATACAGAACTAATCTAATGTTGTCGCTGTCAACGTTTCTGTCACTGAGTGGAGTTAAGACCCATGTTTCCCATTCTTATTTGTATATCGCTGAAGATCTCGCTCGTCGTAGGTTTCAAGGTTATACTATCTTATCTTTCATTTTCAGGTCATTGTTTTGACAAACCTATTTGGTTATTGTCGAAATAGTTCTATTTCTTTTTTTATATACTACTCAACATGTTGCCAGAACTGTATAAAGTCATGATTAACTGAGGCTGTCATAGCTTGTAAGCATGCTAACACACACATTCATCCACAAATATCGAAATAATTTATGAAATTGAGGCTTTCGGTGGGTAAATTACGAGCAAGCGTTTTAATAGAATGTTATCTAGTTCTTCTAATCTAAAGAACCCCCGGACTTTCACGAAAGATAAGGCTCACCGGGTTCTTTGAACCTTATTACTTGGTAACTATGTTAGATAAGTAAAACCACAGCTGATACTTCATTCCCGTGAAAGCAATTAAAAAGATTTCACATATTAGTAAACATGCATTAGTAAAACATAAAATATCAACAAAATGTATTTGCCTTGTTACAGAAAGTTTAATAGACGAGCTATAAATATTTTATCAAATTAAGGAATGTACAACATGAGTTCTTAAGTCCTTGTAGCAATTCATTAGTTTATCCAATCTAGATATGTAGGTTTAATACCTTTTTACGTGTTGTTAATAGATTTTTAACCAATGGAATATTAGAATTAAAAAAGTGAAGGACTTGTTTTTAAATATTAATAGAGATAGTAGAGAGACACCTGAAAATAATTGCAATACTTTGCTACTAATAAGAAAAACGGCGAATTTTAATGTCGGACGGGAAATTGCAGCAAGCGTCCTCTATAGGACTCAAGATCTCTTTAATTGTTATCTTCTCTAAGAAGAGCAAAAAAAGGAGAGAGGTATCGCACAAGAAGTGCACTAATGGCCCTCGCCGTTGAGTAAACCACAGAACGGTTTTTGCAAACACTGTCGACAAGATGGCGGACGGCGAGTAGGACACCAACCTGAGAGGAGGCACTGCCCGCCCTCAGACGTTTGAAATTCCTCGGGAGAAAGTAACTCGGGCTCCAAGGGCTGAAGGAGGGGCAACGCACAGAAAACTGACCGATGGTTCTCCCGGGCCGGTCCGTCGGCCTCTTTGTGAAGTGGGCTGCCCGACAACCTGCTTGCGGAAGAGTTCTCTTTGTGGATCTCATGTGGCAATGACTTGGTTGCAGTGTGGAAAGTTATGCGTGAAGAAATGTGTGTTCTGGTGGATAGAGAAATCACCCAACCTTTGAATGAACAAAGATTTGGAATATTTTTATCGGTAATGTTTGAAGAAAGATGCACAACAAACATTGAATGTCCATGAAGGTTTCCGCATTCTATTGTAGAACAAATCAATTAGAGAGTGATTAATCTCGTATATCCCGCATCAGTCAGAATTATTATATTATTAAGTACAACACGATTATAGTCATCATTAATATACGATTGGCTAAATAATAACGCCCCAGTGGAAGTCGCAAAAATCGAAATGACTTGTAGAAGCGAAGGGACTTCCTTGTTTTTCCGTCAGCTCTTTCACAGCTGCAGCATTGAAACGTCAAACAGATGAAGACACGCGCCGCGAGAAATGGGATAGAGCAACAGCTGGTGGCAACGACCCACAATGTTTCAGCAAGGACGTGGCACCTGCGCGGGTCCATTCGAAGGTAACGGGGGTTTAAGCGCCGCGAGACGGGCAGCGCTCCGTGACGTCACGAACCGGAAGCGGAAGCGCAGCTCTTGCGGTAGCTCACCTTGCCCTCGGTGCCTCGGTGCGTGGTGTTGCCCTGCCAGAAGCGCCGCGCCCATCCGCGCACGTAGCCCGTGACGGACTGCTCGTACTCGAAGCCCGGGTGCCAGCACAGGGAGCCGTACCCGAACACCCACAGGCCCGGCGTGCTGCCGTGCTCCAGGGCGTCGTGGGCGTGCTGATGCTCCACGGGCGGCGACGGCGGCGGTGATGGCGGAGGCGCCTGGGGGGGCTGCTCCACGGCTTGCATGGCGGCGGGATGTCACACGGAACGGCTGGCTGTCAGCGGCTGCACTTGTCTCCTGCGCTGTCGCGCCTACAGCATTGTCCGCCGGACGCGGCGGCGGTGGGGGCGCGCGGGCGTCAGGAGGGGGGAGCACACGCGGTCGGTGGGGGGTGGGGGGGGCGCCGATAAGGACAACGCACTAGTGCGTGGCGCGGCGCGCACCCTGAGCAGCGCTCGGCGATCGCGCGGGCGGGCGCAGTGCGGACGCGCCGGCGGCGTGGACGGGAAAGAGGCGCGGGCGGCGCGAGCCTGGTACCGGCGCCCGCGGCTGATGTAACCACGGCCTCCGTCTTCAGGCCGCACGGCAGCGCGGACGCAGCGGTCGTCCGGTCGGCTGCGCGGGTGACTCACGACCCACTTGTTGCAGACGCTGTGGCGGCGGACGGCGGCGGTAAGGCCACGTGGCTGCGCGCTGGATTCGACCCCGAGCGAAAGCGACGGCTCGTTGCGGCGTGGAGCGGCGCGGGAATGTCGCCGGCGGTCGGCCGCGCCCGGACTATATCGCGACGCGCGGCCCGCCCGCCCCGCGCGCCGCCGGCCACGGCTTCGCCGGCCGCGCCGTCGGCGCGTATCATCGCGGACTCGAATCTGCTGCGCGTCGGCCGAGGCGATACCGCCCGCGGCGACGGAATTACGCGCAGAAAGGTTGTGCAGATTCACGGCGCCGTGGCGCCGGCCAGGGGCAAGGCCGGCGCCGCGCCGGCTCGCGCGGGCCGCGCGCTACGTGTTGTTTGGGTGTGGGCCGCCCTCTCCCCCCCTCACACACACGTTGGGCGCCAACCGGACATTCGCGACGACGCTTAATAGGGGAACCGGGCCTGGAATGTCCTTTCCTGTGGAAGTTGGCTTGGGATATTTGTTCGTGGAAAATTCTGGTCAATGCTCGTTTCTTCTTTTTTTGTTGTATTTTTTGGACTATGACCTTGAAATCGGACAAGGTTGTTGTTGTTGTGGAATCCACAAAATAATAGTTTTATTTCGCTATGATAAATACAATTTCTAACGATGCCGGTCATTTAGAAAGTTGTTATTGAAGGTGGGCTCACATTTACGCCTACGAGTATCTTGTTTACTCATTTTCATCTTTAAAAAAGTAAAATAAAAATGCAGTGACAACTGTACGAGGAAGTGGTAAATAGGATGGTTTAAATGCAGATGATCCAGCTGTTCTTTCACATAGGTATTTCACATAACATAGGTTGTGAATTTAAGAACATGTTTTTATCATTGTTTACTAAAGAATCCGAAATCTTTGTGCATATGAGAGGGTACTCAATTGACATCGTATGGCCGATATGGATTACTTTGATTGACATTGGTCTCTACATGGTCACATGAGTTACGAGAGAGCATGTTGAAAGTATGTGGCCACTGACTTCGCAATGTAAGGTGCATTATTACAATGAAAGGAGACTAGGTGAAATAGATGCATGTCGCAAGCGGCCTTGCGGTATTCATCGACAATGACAAAAAAGGCGTTCAGTTAGTTGTGTTATAACAACGAGTATAACTGTATTCTGTTGTACTGTTGTACAATATTTCCATAATGGTATATAAAGCTCGTATAGTATTCGCCAGGGCTATTTTAGATTTTGAAAAGCCGTGCCAAGAAAATCTAAAATACTAAAAATGATATGAAAATGAATTTTTGATTCTGGATTGGCTATTCGACTTTCAAATGTATCAGAAAGACATTAAAACGCTCTGAGGAATGGGCAACAAATCGTTTTACGAATAAAACGAAATTATGGGTAAGTTCCAAAAGACGCTATGGATTTTAGGATTTCCAAACCTGTTTCTTTTTCTTTTAAAACTTCGATCTGTAGTTGAGAACTATACAGGTGGGACTATCGATTATACATTTCTTGATTCTCGATAGCATTATTGGGAAATTCACACAAAAAATTGAAGATATTCTTGGAGGGGTTAAGGGATATACTCGGATACATGATCCACGTATACCTTCAATTTTTTATTGAGTGAATTTCTCTTTTCCGAAAGTACACGTAAACGCGTCCTTCTATTATTAAGCCATCATGAGTACATAACCTATTTTACCGAATTCACATATGGATGACTTTCTCCAAGAAGTCATCTTTGAGCCCGACCTTGAGGGTAAGAATGTGAAGGATATGTCTCGTAAAAGTGTCGTAAGCACTGATCTTGCCTCAAAGGTTTCCTGGGAAAATCACAAAGAGAAAAGGCTAATAAGAAAACCATATTACTATAACGCACGTCTTATGTGTAATTTGCTAAGTAATATATGTTAATGTTTTATGATAAGTAGATAACATAAACACATAAAATTAGAATTATAAAATGTTATGCAAATTATTAGTAAGATATAAAATACGAATTGCGAAAGCAGAATGATAGCAATAAAAATGAAAGGAGAGCATTTTAGTATAAAACGCATTATGTTTAAAATTTTCGGAAATTACTGACAGCTGCTCGAGAATTTACGCTTTCAAGTTTATGAAGAACATTGATAAAGCTGCAGTGAGTAAAGAAGATTAATGCGTTCTCTGAAACCTTTAGTGACTATCGATATGACGAATTCTTGGTTGAATGAATGAAGGGATCACATACTCCTTCAGAAGAGCATCGTGAATTACAAAATACTAAATGGTTGCGCCATAAATGTTGAAATAAAAAAAAATTAAATACGAGAGCATTCTCAAAATAATAGTTTTAATGCTATTTACTATATATTTAATGCGCTTCCGAAACTGCTAAAATATGTATCTGCGATTTGTTGCGACTGCAAGCACACAAGTTTGATAGAGCATCGTAGGCTTTCACATTCATTATCTGAGAGAGAGTTTCCATGCTGGTAGGCCGTGGTCCAGATGGCGGTAAAGGGCCACTTGGCCAATTGGACCACGGCCTACCATCCCGGAAACTTTCTCTGATACACACGTTTAAATTTTAGAACTCATTTAGAACACATGTTAGTATGTAAGTGATAGGCATTTGTGGAAAGTATTGAAAAATTTATTTAAAGTTTATTGGATTGTAGAACTGAATGTGTCATTATAGAAGTTATTCTTCTTATTAATAAACATTACCGTAAAGAATATGTACATTGGAAACAAACAGATTAAGCGTGAAATGATAATCATCAGGTGGAACAAATGATAGATTGATGAACATCTGGAACTGTTCAGAATGCAGTAAGAACGAAAAAAATCGCCAACTTTCAGAACTAGAGACGTCACATTAAAAAAATATACGACAGGCAGAAATAGTTAAGTCCAGATCATAATTTTTAATGAAGAGCATCAAATTTTTAATTCTAGTATATCAAACATTCAGAGCAATACGCTCAAAGTCAATACATAATGTCTAGAAATTACCCGGTCAATTTTAAAGACATTTTCATTAAACGTATTTCGCTATTATTTCCCTCTTATCACTTTTCACGAAGGAATTCGGTGTTATCTGTTACGAGGAAGTCCATTCCACTGATGTAATAAATGATTCGACGCGTGCTGACTTGTTTGCAAACTTCACCGAAGGCCAACTAGCGAACACCATTATGCGACTCACTCGAACAAGGTGCGCTCGGCTGTGTTTTCGTAGCTCAGTCTGCAGCACAAGGTGAAGGTTAATGTCAAGGTTGTTTCCCAAACCACTACGCAGAGACTTCTCTTAATATTCATTGGATCCCATTCATTTCAATTCCCAAGATTACTTAACAAACGTTAGTACAGTTTTAAACTTACAATAAACAGGTATCGGAATATTTATTATTGAAAACGTACATGTGCTATCAAAATTATTAAGTATCCAAATAGAAAAACACTTTCATATCATAATGATTTAGTAATCTTTACATTTACATTGACATACGTTTTTTTGAAATTAGCTTTATATGGGAAAATCATTTATTAATCTAATTACTAATAGCTATACAATCGATCTGCTATTCCGTTTTTTTATTTCTTGTCAGTCTCTAACCATATTTCAAATGAGAGAAGTGCTTTCTTTTGCAAATGATCTGTAGTTGCATTCCGGCGTTCATTTACTATTAAATCATACGTTATGTTGACCTTTGTTGAAGCTTTTATCTAAAATTGCCCGAGTGCACGCTAAGACACTTGCTCTTTCGTGTTAAAATATACGAAGAACAAGTTAGGAGAGATGGTAAAATAATTATCAAGAAAAACCCGTGCGATACCTTCTAAAATGTCGTCAAACCTGTTTCATGTGTGTTGGGTCAACATTAACACTGTTTAAATATATTTATATTCTCTCGATTTTTGCCAAATATTGACTTTATGATGTTAGGTTTTGATGTTTGGTTTCGAAAACGTAATCCATTCAACTTAAGTCAGAATTATATTGAATTTCAAAGAAGAGAAACAGAAATGTAAAATTAAATAAATAGAAAATAACATAGAAAACGCAAAGAATTCATTAAATGAAACTCGTTAAGAATGATGAGAAAATTTTGCCTGAAACAAAAGAATTAGCGACGAAGACATTAAGCGCTTAAAAATAATTTTCTCTTACATTCTGAAAAACATATCAGTGACATAGGTAGAAAGTATTTCGGAGGGGGGTGGCTCTCGTGGTCTCCTCTTTGGATCCGTCACTACGATATATGTATACGTACTATGTACTAAGAAATAGAAAATGGTGAAGGAATACAATCACTTAAATTATTATTTAACAGATCAAAAATATGATTAGAAAATGCATTCAGAAGAATCAGAATCATAATGATTTCGAAATTAAAAATGATGAGAGAACTAAATAATAATAATAATAATAATAATAATAATAAACGATGTAATAAATTATGTATCCGAAACTTGAAAAAATTTAATATTGCTCAACATGTATTTGTCTTGATAGACATTTGATATATGATTATATGACATAGACATATGATCCCAGTTCAAGTTCGAAAATGATGTTCGACTTTGAAGTTATAATGTCTCTTTTGAAAACTAACTGATTGTTTCAAATTATATCAATTCGAAGAGAGCGGATCTGAGTAATAGAAATCAACGTTATTTCACGTTCATGTCGCAACGTTTCACGTCACAACGTCAAAAGGATGAATAAGGAAAATCTACGACAGGAAGAATTGACTTTCCGGTCCTTCTGCACGATCCGGAGTATTGAGAAGATACTTACAATCACTCAGTCATACGTCAAAGAAGCGAGGGGATGCGCTGGTCACCGAAACATTTCCCCGTGTGAGTCATGTGAAAAGGATAATTTGGATATTGAAATCGGTTGAGGAAAATGTAGCTATTTGGATAACAATCATTTCCAGGATTTCACAAATTAGTCAGTAATAATAAATATATCAGGGTTTTCAGTAACTGTGACGTAGCAAGCTCCTGTGGCACCCGAGGCGGGACTTGATAGCATGAGGGGCTCGACCGGCTGGCCGGCCGACGCTCCCGTAGGTTATAGATAAACCTGCACTCTGTTATGCTTTTGAGAACTATTAATTTAAAAAGGAACATATTTTCC